TAGGGAAAATGACAAACTGTCTTCTTTCCATAAATAAGACATCTTTAAGATATTTTAAAATTATTTTCAAGTTCAGTGCAAGTTTTCGTTCACCCCTATGACAGCACAATATTATTCCCCTTTCACCACTAATACAAAATACAAGTCATTTGGTCACAGCTACAAACTAAGTACTTATAAATAGAAAGTTTCTTCCTCCCAATAGGAATATACAGCTTTCCTTACTGATTTTTGACCTAATTTCACATTTACATAACATTATGTTGTACCACTACACATACATTATTTCTTTTCCACTAAGAATACCTGAAGTGTTACTAGGTTTAACGTTCCTAGAAGTGAACAGCCAGGCACAATACATCATTCTCATGGTATGGACGATCGGTATGATATCAGCACCTGCACTGCTCTGCCCATAGATTTACTTTCCACATTTTTGCTTCAACACTGCAAGAGGAAAAAAAGCAAAGAGTGCCAAATAGTGCCAAATTATGAAATGGACCTGTGTTACAGACAGATGGTCACTAGCACGACCCTGATGTCATACTTTCCACTTACAGAGTAGGATGCTAATTCAAATTCTCCAGAAACCAAACACTACCACACCATAATAATAACTGCTATGGCAGGGAATGGGCAGTGAATGACGTGGAGTAAATATTACTCTCATTACTATTGGATCATGTCCTTCACTGGAGATCGACCACTCAATAATAAACATCATAGGTATAAAAGTAATCTTGCATCCAATGCTGAACAAGAACAACTGGTATGCCCCTGACTTTCAGAAATACCAGAACTCCCATCCGCCTCGTACTTATCCACCTGCTACAGCTAATAAATACTACAAATACTTCTACAACTTTCAGACACGTCCACTTACATATTTAAAAAAAGGTTTTTAATAAATTTGTTGCACCAATTTAGCAATAACTTACACTACCAAGACTGCAAGTTTGTTACACAAAATTATCTGCTCAGGTTCTGAAGGTTACCTCCAAGCTTCCTAATTCAAAACAGAGTTGTCAACATCAGTCTTGTATACACATATGAACGTCATTTATTATTGCTAACTGTGGTTCACATATCATGCATTACGAGTTCAAGAAGCCCTTGTGTTTTGGTCAGCACTGACTAGGTACAACCACTGTTTTTAACACTGTGTGATTAAGAACTGCTCAGAGCAAAACAAAGCAACTTGCTACTAGAAGACAGCAGCAATCCCTTCAGATGAGGGCTCAAAGCTTTTAATGCCAGTTCCAGTGAATGAGTGATAGTAGCAAACATGATGTAACAGTAAAGGAGTCAGGGGGAAAAAAAAAAAGCCCCAACAATGAAAGGGCCTAGTATCAGCTAAAAGAACACAGCTAAAAAACTATCTGCTATAGCACACAATTAATAATTTAATATTTACCAAACTCACAAGAGACTCAAAAATATCTGAATACCCCTCCTCTTTTTCTTTTGAAACTGCACCTTCTTAATTTAGCACATGTTCAGGTGCTTCCCCTTCCAAAAACAGTTAACTCCACAGATACTGAAAGATGGTAAGTATAGCTAGTGTTTAGAAGTAGCTGCACTACAACAGCAGTAGTAAAGTCTTGGTAGCAGAGCTCAAGTACCAATCATCTGTGACTACCCTAGCTGCTCTGCAGCATCTCACCAAAATATTTTTGTGCTGGAAGAGGAGGTCTGTGAGAGTGACAGCACACTACGTCATCTGTAAACGATACTGCAGCCCCGCTAGGACTATCACTCACTCAACAGGCTCTGAAAGTTGAAACAGCATCACTCCTGAGCAGCCAGGTCATGCAAAGAGAAAGGCCTTTGAAACAGAAGTGGAAGGAGATAAAGGGCATACTATTTGAAGTTTAGGTGGGTCTCTTGCCATCAGAAGGGAGGAGTCCTTTAGGCACCTACAGAAATAAATCTCAACAACTCTGCTCTACCAGCCTCTCAGAGAGCGAGACGAGCTGGATAGCCAGCATCTTTAGTCAGAGCTTCAGCCTCGTCTTCAGCCTCTCCCCCAGCTGCTCAAGCCCTGCCCCTGGATGAGAAGGGGCCTGTTCCCCCATCGCCAGCGCAGCCCAGCAGCTCACCGCCTCCTGCTCCAAAGATCAGGTGTGGGAGGCGCAGGGAGCGCGGCGGGCCGGCCCAGGGCGCTCCGGCCAACCAGGTTCCCGCCACGCCGCTGCGCTCCCCGCTTCCCTTCAGAGGAGGGCAGCCATTTCCCCCCCCGCTCC